TTGCTTTCGTTTTAAAGGTCTCAGACTCTGAAACACTGTTTTAACTGACCTTATTTTTTCAATTTGTTTTTATTTTGATGAATGCCTGCTGCTGCCTTGCATTGGTCTGTATGTCTGGAAGAGTTCTTTCTTCATCGCTTTCCCACGGAGGCTTAAGCAGCCCTGTCCTTCGTCCCTTTCACTTATTCTTCGTATCTAAATAGGTCATTAGACTAGCTTTTCCTGAGTCACCCTTGACTTCTTTCTCCTGCACCGATGAAAATCTCAAGATATGTCTCTGGATATATTGGAATTAAATAATCAGTTCAGATTCAGTATGATTTAAGACAGCTCCCAGTCTTTCCTTCCAAACCTTCTTCCTCTTCCTTCTTTCTCTCTGCAGACATCTCCATGCTTTCTGCTACTCAGCACTGGTCTTTCCCTAGGTTATCACATGTCGGTAAGTCTAGACACTGCACATTGATTCTGTACATAGCAACTTTGAGGTAGTAATTTTTCTTCATCTATGGCTACAATTCTCACATTAACTTTATTTTTGACCTGAGCTATAAAATTCCTTTCCTCTGAAATCTATATATTCAATATAGTATTGCTGTTATCCACTGTGGATGCTCTTGCACCTTTTGCATTATCTGCAACATAAAGTGATAATTTTGAATGACCTTTTTACCTTAACCTCAGCCTCTTCTCATTTCTCATTTGCTCCTGAAGTCTCCTGTATGAACAGATGGGTTTTCCCATTCTTGAGATGTCTTTTTTTTTTTTTTTTTTTTTTGTCCTTACTGTCACTACACAGCTATACAGTAGAGAGATAAAATTATTTTCTGTAACACCATATTTTAGCTGACACTAGAGCAATGAACTACTGAAAAATTAAATGTCATAGCTAAGTGTTTACAAAAACTGAAATTTCTGAAACTGCAAACAAAAACAAGTTACTGGAGAAAGACACATTCTCTTGAATATTTATTTCAGCTGATGTTTTTTGCATCTTACTTTTTTTTTGGGTAGAAGAACAAAAAACCCACTATAAAATATCATCCATGTCCCAACTCAATTTCCTCACTCTTCCAGAGCTGAGTCCTCCCTTTTATATATTTCTCACCATCTTCTGCCTATTAATTCCTCTTTTCCCATTTTCCTTGGAGTTCTTGGGACAAGTTCCAAATGCAGCATTTTCTTTAACATTATTTTATTCAAAAAAATTCTTCCCTGTAGTCAGATCATTCATTTGAATAGAATATTAAAATTTATTCCATTCCTCCATAGTGAGAAGATTTTGGAACAACAGCCACTTAAAAAATAAAACCAAAATATCAACAACAAAAAGCAACAGAAGAGTAAGTGCAATGAGGGAACAATCTAATATGAATATATCTGAAGCTTAAAAAGTTGAGATTGATTTGCTCTTTAGCCCAACTACTAATTCCAGTATGCACACATGATATTCACTTTGTTCATTCTTAGCTTTTTGTAGGCTCTATATAGAAATTTTTGTATCTCATCCAATATTTTAATAGTTTCCAGTGACTATTCACAGGCTAAGTGAGAACATAATTTTGAGCCAAATAGTGTCTGTTCTTCTTTCCAACCTGTATGTTATTTGCTAGTTATTTGGATGTCACAGTCTCTTTGGTTGTACTTTCTGCTATCCTGTTTTGTCTGCCCTGTCTATATTCTATTCTTACAACCTTCAGAGAATGTTTTCTGGGCCACATCCAAGGCTGTATTTGTTCAGGTGAACTTCAGGAAATTTCAGGGTAAAATAATCCTTCATTCTAACAGTCCATGGAGAATTTAAATCGATCAAGCAAAATGAGATCACTTATTACTATCTGGGGTTATAAGTAAACCAATATTTAGGGAGGAAAACTGACTAAATAAATTGATGCCTATGAAGTTAATACTTGGAAAGATCTGTAAGCAAGAGGAAAAAACATTATATCATCTTTTTCATCTCATCCATTACTTAATCCAAAGTGTGCTTGTTTGACGTCTCTGTTTCCTGTTTGGATAACGCGTATGTGCTAAGTTCTGGTGATGAGTTATTTGTTTGTGCAGTTGGGCTTAAGATAAGCTAAATAAAAATGTTTAGAGCTGCACATCAAAGAAAATATAGTAATTAGTTAGCATTAAAACCCCACTACTTAGATAGAAGGAAATACCAAGTTCCTCACACCAATTCCAAATAAAGAAGTGTTCAAATTAAGAAAAATTTAAGCTGTGCTTAGATCTGCCAGGGTCACAATCCTTGGCCTTCAGACTGTATCAGGGGATTTCAGTGTGCTGCTTCCTACCTCCTTGTGAAAACTGCCTGCTCGTGGCTATTTTTCTAAGTCACAGACTTGTTCAGCCCCACAACCTGATGCACTGAGCTTGCCTCACAAGTTTTCTTTTCAGCACCCATGTAGTATGCTAAAAAGTACCTGTAACAATATGTGCTGTGGACCAGACAGGATCCAGTGGGGTCAGATTATCTGTTAGCCCAAATGAAAATGTTCTAAGACATGGTTGCCTTTTGTTTTACATGCAGTGCTGTGAGTCAATAACAAGTTTCTTAAAAACTTCATTAGTGTTCCGTGGGTTATCATTTGCTTATTTTCAGGTGTCATCTTTCCCATTAGTAATTACTTTATCCAGTGGCTAAGCCTGCACATTACCATTTACTGATAACAGCACTGTGTAATTGTCCCTTTTGTGTATTTTTAAGTAGCAAACAGTTTTTAAACAATTAATGGAGGAGGAAGAAAAAGCTGGTGCCACTGGATCCACTACTGCAGCAAACATCACAACATAACTCTTTATATCCAGTCTGTTAATTGCTGTGAGACTTAACTGTGATTTGGACACATGTGGGTGTCTATGTTTAAAAGCTGACTTCATATATGAAGATAGCAGGAATGCTTTAATAATTCTTTCCCTTCATTCTAGTTTTATTAAATCAATTAGCATTTAACTTTATCTTTTTAAGAATTAATAGATATATCTTTTTTAAAAAAGTTAATAGTGAGAAAACTGATGTTTGCTACAAGCATATTTGCAATGCAGACCCTATACTTTTTAGTTTCACATTGTTGTTGTAGTATCATGGATCTATCTTTTTGAAACAGCATGGAGCATGTATCTGTTTCAGAAAGAAACTGATCCAAAAGTAGAAGACCTATGTATTGTGGGTATTAGCTCAAAGTGCACTCTAAAACTGGAATGCAAAAGGCCTCATAGCTTTCTGAAAATGAATATGACTAAGATATTAACTTTGTCTTATTGAATAATGTTGTCACTACGCTACTTGTGTGAAGTCTCTAGGGTTAAAATATTCTTTAAAGAGATGTTTATTTTTGAACAGACCTATTGAGTTGTCTCCTATTGTATGTTAAAGTAGCTGCTCTCAAAGGTCACAGAAAGTTCAGCCTTACAAAGACACCCTTATTTTGTAGAAAATGAATTTTCAGACTCTCTAATGGGAACATTCAAAAATGTCTCCAATAAAACTTTTTTTAGAATGTTTCATTTGATGACTTGTCCAGAAAGAGGAAAAGTAATGTAAAGACAGAAGTTTGGACAATAATCAGCCATGAAAGCACATGCTCTGTTTTCAGTAAGTGTAGAGAGTTGCATATGTTTTTCTTGTTTTTGCCATAGGAACATAATTATTGGAGTTTTGTATTTGTTTTTTAGCTTCCTCAACCTATGTACCTGGAAGAACATTTTCTGGCTTTTTGTTTTCTGAGCAGCAGACACCAATTAAAAAAGCACAAATCCATCTGGGTCCAGTCAGATAGAATGTGCTCTTGCAGAGTTGAAGACTTTGGAATCCCAAGCAGTCAACAGGATCAGCCTGCACTGATTGCTCTGTATCATGGCAGTAAAAGGATAATTTAGTCAAAAGCCATAGCTTCAAGTAAATGCAGTGTTTGTGAAAGATACCGTTCTGATAGCAGTTAAAAGAGAACTCCTTACTTTTTCCCAGGAGGACAGCTTTAGCTGCAGAAAATCAAATTTTGCACTGGTGTAGCACTTCATTTATGTTTCTGAGATACCCAAAGTGATTTATTTTATTGACCAACTTAGCAGCTGGTTTTATCTGTTACAACAGACAGTTCCAATCTAGCAAGTGAAGCTGACACTGAGATGAGCTGTATGAAGTTAGACACCTGTCGTCCACTTACAACAAGCAGCGTATTACACAAGGGTGCAACAAGTACACAACTGTGTGGGATAGCAGAGGCATGCAGAGACATGTCCAAGCCTCAACCTTAATTTTCCCTGCAGATGCTTTAAATGAGTGTCACTGGTTGTAGACACGTATGTGCTTGGCATTAGACATCTCAAGATACTTAAAAAATTACAAAAATCTGGAAAAACCTGGGTCATCAGAGTGTTACTTTGAAACTGGAAGAGTGTTAAATATGATTTTAAAGGGATATCGGTGGGAAATTATTTGTTCTGAGGGGAAAAAGTTTGAAAACAGAAGCACTGTAGACTTTTTAGACGTTGTCTTGAATTTTAAATTGTATTTCTGAAGGTCTACACCCAGAAGAATTTTTGGATAGAAGGAGCTGCTGTTTACCACTCCTGCTGTCCATTCCGTCCACTATGGCTAGGTCCGGTGATGCGACTTGCAATGGACAACACTGGGCCTGACACTGCCAGTCGTGCTGCGGGGTCCGTTGTCAGCCTGTGCGTCGGACGGGGCAGATGGAGAACCCTTGGTTATTCAAACGCCAGGATGGCGGGGCAGCGGTTATTTGGGCTGTTTCCAGAGCCTCTCTCCCCGGCTGTGATAGCATCCAGGGCACGCCAGCCCGCCCATGGCCGCCGTGCCTCCACGCCCCGGCCCGGCTCCCGCGCGGCCCCGCTCTGGGCGCTTCCCCGCGGCCGGCGGTGTGGGAGCGCGGGACGTCAGTGTGAGGGGGCCGGTCCTGGGAAGGGCAGGGCGCCCGCGTCCCGTCCCTCCCCGCCCCTCGCCGCGGCTCCCTCCCTCCGGCTGGGGGCGGCCGGGTCGGCCCTCGCCGGGATCCCATTCCTCCTCCCTCGGTGCATGGTCGCGGCGGGAGCGGAGGAGGGTGAGCCCGGCGGGGCGCGGGCCGGAGGCGGCGGCGAGAGCGGAGCCCCAGCGCGGAGAAGCCGCCTCTGCCCGGCAGCGGTGAGGCAGCGGCACCGCTGAAGTTGTGCGGGGATGGGAGGACGGGAGGGAGGAGTGGGACCGCTGGCTGCGCTTCCATTCATTGCACGAGCGGCGGCCGGGCTGCTGCTGCTTCTCCTGGGCCAGGGCTGTAGCCTTAGGGACAGGCCGGGGACAGGCACAGCGCGGAGGTGGCGGCAGGGACGGGGCTGTGCCGCCGGAGAGAGCCAGCCGGCGCTCGCCGGGGCAGCGGTGGAGCGGGTCGGCACCCGGGCGCCTTCCCCGCCGGGAGCGCGACGGGGACCCAGAGCGGGACCCGGCGAGGCGCCCGCGGCCGCCAGGCTGCCTCCTTCCGTCGCTCCCCCCTTCCCCGCTCCCTCCCTCCCGCGCGGCGGTCCTGCCGGGCGGCCGCTCCCGGCTCTCTCCGGCCAGCGGGCGGGGGTCCGCGACGCCTGGCTGCGCTCCGCGCACACGTCCGGCACGGCGGGGCGGCCGCGCTCCCTGCGCGCCGTAAGGAGCGGGGCGGGGCCGCGGGGGCGCCGCCCGTCGGGGGGCCCCGCTCGGCTTCGTGAGGGACGGGTAGCGGGAGGCGGGCTGCCCCTGGCCGCCTCTGGCCCGGGCACCTGCAGCCTCTCCCCGGGGCACGGGAGCTTCTTGACTTTCCGCGAGCTGCCTCTGGGAGCGACGGTTCAAAGCTCACCTGGGAGCCTTCACATCGCTGACGAGTTCTTCATACCCGTCGTGTTTCTGGGACCAGTTTTTGAGAGAGGGATGTGTGTGTCTGTGTGTATGTGTGTGTGTATTTTAGTTTTTAGGGCCCTTCAGGGAAGGGCAGGCAGCACAGGTTACCAGTGCACTTTTTTTGGTAGTTTAGGTGTTGCTCCAAAGGCACTCAGTAACACCTGTGAGATTGGATCCTATAATTCAGAAGTTGTGGGTGCACTGGAGCAACATCAAGTAAAACAGCATGGGCTGGCAGTGCCGTGTCCAGACAAGTGCACACGCTGCCAGTACCTGGTGGCAGAGCAGCAATGTTGCACCATCATAGTAAGTTTACACCAAGCCAGAACTAAGCAGACGAGACGCTGCGAATGTGTGCATCCTAATGAGAGATGTATTAGTAGGAATAAATGAGCACAATTACAGAGCTCCAGCTGACCTCATCCAGAAGAGAATATTATATATGTTAATAACAAGGTTTGGCTTTCTTAGGGAAACATTTTCTTGGCACCGTTAAAGATCCCTTAATGAAGATGTCTCCTTGGTCCCAGTCCTGCAGTGGGTTCTGACTGCTCAAGCTCATACCTGCAAGGGGCCCTATTGTTTCCATTGGGTTTGCTTTGGTCACAGGAACCTTATGTCCTTATAGTAATTCATAGAGACCTAAATTTATGCTGTGCACGAAGAGTGGCTAACTGGGAAATGTCAGTGACATTACATTTTATTTTTTCTGAATCAAACATACTACAAAAATATAAACCAAATTAATCTCTGGGATCTTCTTGAGTATTTTATCCACGTTCATGCATTGTTACGTCAGGGTATAGGCCGACTGTTAAGATAGTTGTTAATGACAGGGTTTTATCTCAGACACAGTTTCATGGAACCCTTGCTCAGTTTTTCATTCAATATGCTAGTTGCAGCTACTCCAGCTTTAATCACATCACTTCACAGGATTTCTCCCTCTGAGTCATGCAGTGGGTTTAATCAGTGTGGAGGAAATTGCCCACTTTATCTTTTTTTTAGTTAATCGTCTGTTTTTATTAAGCATTCTGGGAAATGTTTGCGTGATGATGTACCCACACATCAGGCAAGTAGTAGTAGTGTGTCATTTTCTTTTACGACTGTAAATCCCTGGGAATGGATGCAACATTGCTGTGTAAGAATGTTACAGTTATTTTTATTACTTACTTAATCAAAGCATTGTTCCACCACATCTTCTAAGACACTCTTGGTTGTGCTGGGCTGGTAAGTTAGGATCAGAAGTACGGCTGGCAAAGACTGAAAGGAAGCCAGTAATTGCCATGATCCTTTTTCGTGTTCTAGCTTGTAGCTGTGAAGATTGCTTGTGGTATTCTGTAATACAGTAGGACAATGACTTATTAACTACTATGTGTTGTTGCATCAGCAGGATCTGACGGGGCTGCGACTGTTTAGTTGGCAACCAGACAAGAAACCTGGTGTTTTATTTTGCATATGGTGTAGACATTGCTGTTTCAAGCATAATTACATGAAAAGGAGGATTCATTATTTTCCTGAGTGTTTTGGAGAACAGAATTATTATTCATCAAAATTGATCTTTCCAGAAGATTCTACTCTGTTAGACATTGAGTACCCATTGGAGGGCTCCCCAGTAAAAGAGAAGTGGTGGTTGCAAAGCAGGGGACGTGTTGAACACCGGATGGCAGCTCCTAGCTAATATAAGATTTCTGCAAATCAGAAGGAAAAAAAAATCAGGCAACAAAACAGTTTCTAGGAATTTTACCCTCAGCATCTTAAACACAGCTTGTTACATGACAAAGAGGAAAGAGTGTCTCCACATAGAAATAGCCCTGGTGAAGCTGCTGTTTGCCTCAGAGGTGTTTGTTAAAGCTTGAAGTGGGAGGGTGAGGATGCCTGCCCTGCTGTCCCTAACTGTCCTCACCTCCTACACATGTGTGCTCGTGTGTTCGTGCCCAGGCAGAAGCGCACACAGCTCCTCTTGTTGGCTGACCCTTCACACCATCCAGCCTGTGGGGAGGAGAGCAGTGCTCAGCTTCCAACTGCTGGTAGCAATAAGAGAAACTGTTTTATGTCCCCATTCCTTCCCTGTGAACACAGGCTTTCTGTGTCTTCCTTTGTCTTGCTTTCCTCTGTGTTTTCAGTGCCTCCCTTCCCTCTCAAGGGTTCCCATTTCTCTGCTTTCTGCCTACATGATAAATAATTTTGGGGTGTCAGCATTTTGAACTCATTTGGGAACAAGGAAAGAGGTGGCAAGTTGCTGGAAGGTGTTACTGATTCTCAGAGCCCTTTGTCGATGGAAAGACAATTGCTGATGTGATTGTAGTTGACAAGTCTGTTAAAATAATGCCAAAGACTTTTCCCTTCTGGCTTTTCAGCTTTCCCTTCTGGCTTTTTAGCTTTCTTGAAAACTGACAGGATTCTCCTGAGCTGTGATGCCTAAAATCTGCCCTGGGAAGGTGGAACTAACAGGATGCATTCTTCCAAAATCACTGTCCTACATATGGATGAATTGGAATAAAGCTGAATGTAAAATGTGGGCATTTGTAAAGCCCAGTTTAAAAAAAAATAGTATTGTTATCCCTTGCCATTTTAAAATTGCTCAGGAGTTGTGGCCAGATACTGTGAAAGCTGTCTAAACAAGTACTGTTTTACTGTCTTGTAAATAAAGTGATGTTTTCATGTTATACTGCTGACAGAAGGTGATGCATTTTGGAAAAAAAATCCAGATCTGAGGTCTTAATTTCTCTTTAATTTGTCTTTGTTTCTCTTTACAACTCTAGCAGGTGAGACATTAACCATGAATAAGTGTTTCAACATCAGTTAATCAGAGAGTAATCAATTTTCCTAGACGTATTTTCCTAAAAGACATTTTTTGTGGTAGGTAATTCCAAAGAAAACTAAATGCACGGTGGAAAACTAAATTATAAACTTGCTACAATGGCAAACACTGACAGCAAATGTACCCAATCTGTGTGAATGAGTTGGGAATGTATCTGAAATTCTGAACTGTGGCAATACATTGGACTTACAGTATGGACACTTATAGTATGTATCCATGACTGAGTATAAATAAATCACAGCAAAAGATATTTAGAGACTGTTGTGCTGTTCACATAATCAATAGGTTCCAGTTTCTGATTCACTAGCGTAATTAAAAAAAAAAAAAAAAAAAGCAGCATGGTCTTTTGCTAAAGATTAATTTCTCCAGTTCTCATTGTCTTCTAGTTCTGTCTTTTTCAGCTCAGAGCTCTATAGTTAAGTTAGATGTGGGTTCTTCAAAGGAGAATCCAGAATATTTGATACACTGATGCATGAGAGGAATGCTGCAGCAATTTATTCTAAAATATTTCTTTTTTTGGTTTAGATGTTGTTGGTTGGGGTTTCTTTATGGCTTTCTCTGAAGTCCATGGTGAAAACACAGGAAGTTAATGATAAACCATGAGAATTAAATACTATGAAAAGAGCAAAAAATGTCTTGAAGGAAGCATAGTTTTGTGTTGCAGCCACTGAGACTACTGTAATGAACCCAGACACGCAAGGAAGGCTTATTTTAGCTGATTTTTTTTTACCTTTAACATCTTCTAGTGCCCAGAAACAATCAATGAAGCAATATTGCTGAAGCAGCTGTACAGTCTCCTTTGTCATTGGTGTTACTGCTGTATTTCAGACTTCTTTGTCTTAATACTTAATGTCATCTTAAAGATGGTGAAGGTATTTTTGGACTGATGTGTTCTTTGTGGTATCTTACATCTTACTGATGAGTATGTTTTGGATTTTACGTATACACACAGTAGTAGCTTTAGAGTTGACTAAGTGATCTTCATGCTTGCTGACACCTGACATTGCATACATTATATGCCTTTCTTGTACATAATTTCTGAAATTCAGCAGTATCAATGCTGTCATTCCATTCCAGATCAATAGCATAAAATAATAGATAGATCAATAGATAAAATAATATACTATGCCTTAATAGTACAACCAATAATTTACCTTACAGTTTGACTGTAGCTTGTCAGCCTTTTCATCCCTTCTGATCCCAATTAAGTTTTTCTGTAAGGGTGCTTTAGAAGAAAATCCTGTGAGTTTAATGCTAATAGAAATGGTCAATATTGTGATTATAGCAATTAGAACCAGAGCCTGGTCTGAATTGAATGTTGCATTACTTTATTAAAAGCCATACAGTTTTAAAATCTGTTTTATTTGAGCAGTGTGACTTCTCAGGGTGGTTGAGACTTTGGTTAGCCGTGGCAGGACTTTCTTTGTTCAGCTTTCAGTGATAATCCCTTAAACCTTTC